TATGAGGCGAGCGCAGGGGGACAGGGACCAGCAGCTGTCGCCGCCGTTCTCAGGTGAGTGTGTGTGTCAAGAGTCGAGGACGGGGGCTGGCCTGTCGGGGTGCGGGGGTTTTCCTTGAGAAGTGACTGACCCCCCCCCTCCCACACACACACTTCCCCTCATGTATTATTCTCTGCCCCATTTCCTACACCCTGGCTTCATGGCCTGAGGAAGCCAGAGCCTAGTCAGCCGTCTGTTCTTCCTACCTCAAGCATTCAGGAAACACAAACGCGCCCCCTGCCTCCAGCCTCTCTCACCATCATACCCCAGCCCCATCCCCCTTGCCAAATAGTGAGCTGTCGCCTGCGGCGAGATGGAGGACTGCGCATGCTCGAATGTGAAGGAGCTCGGGGTGCCTGTTCGCTGTCTCAGGACGCATGCGCATTGCTGTGTTGCAGGGACCTGCGGGGATAAAGAGCCCCTTGACCACGCGCCCGCCTTCTTCCCAGGCAATGCTAGACTTGCCACCCAATAGTGAGCTTGTCGCTCCGATGCGAGAGGGAGAATTTAAATTATGCGAGGGATTTAAGGACAAAGCACTATTCGCATCTGGTGTTGCCCTAGAGACTCCCAGGCTACCAACGCCTCCTAGAGCCAACGTGTCCCACGCTGACCCTCCTTTTGAAACTGACGGCAACTTCTAGTTCTAGAATTACTTCCCTTTCCACCACTCCGGTCGTCATGCTGAACCCTTACTACAAACTTCCCCTAAATTTAGGAGTTAGTCCAACTCATTTATTCTGGCTGGGGATTTTGATAGCCTTGTTAAGAAGGACTAAGGGCCATAAAAAAGAAACTAAAGTGGGAATTCCTTTTTAGTAGAATTCTGAGTTGCCTTTACAGAATTAGGTAAGAAAGGGATAAGTGTCACACACAGTTTAAGGCTTGAGTAACAACAACAGAACGGTAACGAAGAGATCAGGAGCTTCATTTCAGACCTTTTAACTTTGTGTGATCTATTTATTAGGTTCTTTGCAGAGTGTGGTGATGGTGGGGGGTGGGAGTCAGAGTTCTTCCATAGTGTTTCAGTTTAGCTGTACATTACTGATGTTCTGTGACCATATGAAAATAGGCAACTGGAAACAATTGAACAGCTTGTCTAGAAGTATTAATTTTAAATAATGAGAGTGATGATTCTTTCATATGGGCAAATTCCAAAAAGATTAAACTGAGGAACTTTACAAAAATATTTCAGTGACTTAGGACTTGAGTTTCAGTTGGCAGACTATACTTGGTTCTTTAGTTTACTGCTGTATTGTCACTCTTAGAAAACTTTGTCTTACCTCTACCATGGGGGTGGGGACGTTGTTTTTGTTTTGAGACAATCAGGATCTCAGGTAGCCATGGCTGGCCTGGCACTTCTATGCAGACGAGGCTGGTCTCAAGACTGGAGTTACAGAGATCTGCTTACCCCTGCCTCCCTAGTGTTAGGTGTACACCACAACTTGTGGTCACAAAGATAAACTCTTTACTAGCAAAAAAGGTTTGCTGACTTGTATTGAAACGAATAGCTGGATTGTTGCTTGGTGGGGAGAATGGAAAAGGGGGAGGCGGCGTTTTCTGTTTTTTTTGTTGTCTGGCTAATTTTATGTCTCAGCTAGACTCCTGGGAGTGGTACATAAATCAGCCTTATCTTGAAATTCCCTTTGCATTTGTGTTCTTTCTTTGGTATTGTCACAAGACTGACTTCAGTTGCTGTGTTTAACTTTAGGACCTTATATTCTTGGGTTTTAAAGTATATATACACTTTTCACTTCCTCATTGAGCACTGGCCTTTCTGTGGTTCAGCTGTCGATTGTGCTGTTTCCGGTTGTCATGTTGCACTTGGAACCAAGGGATGACACAGAGGAAGAAGCACAGGGGTTTGGGGATTGAGGGAGTGTATATCATCCTGTGTTGGGAAAGAGCTGTATACTCAGCTCCCCCCACCCCCCAACATTATAAATTATCGTGTAACTCCACGTTGAGGATCAGGGCACTTGGTGTCCTTTTGGTATTTTGGTGACTACCCTGTTAAAGGAGTTATTGCAGTGGCTAGTTTGGTAGTTGGAAATACTTCCTGTGGCCTTCCTCCATACTTGGACTAGGCGCTTGTAGAATCTAGAAGTGAAACTACTGAGGCAATGCTTGTCTTTCTTCTAAGTAGGCTTTCTTCATCTAGGATGCTTTGTTCTTATCTGGAAACATTTAATTTCTGAATTCACTTAAGCCTTATTTAAATTTTTGATGGTACAAAAGCAGGGCACGCTTTTAGGATTAAGATAAGTTGTTAATTCATATTGGTGCAGAGATTTGTTTAAAAAATAAAAGGTAATACAAGTGTGGAACAGAATATTCAAAAGGTACACAGTGAGAATGAAAAAATTCTGTCATCTTCCTCCTGTTGTCATTACCCTTCTCAACGGCAGCATCTCCTTCCAGAGTATTTCCATTATAAATACATACACCTACATGTTCTTTGGTGTCTGTCTGTTTTTCACAAATGGTGAGACACTATATCCATTTTTTACTTTTAACTCAATTTATCTTGGTGATCATTTCTTTCTTTTTTTTCACTTTAATTCCTGTATTTTATTTATTTATTTTTATTTAAATTAGAAACAAGCTTCTTTTACATGTCAATCTCAGTTCCCTCTCCCTCCCCTCCTCCTCTTGGTGATCATTTCATACAGTATATGTAGTATCTCTTTTTTAAAAAAGTGGCAAGGGTTGCATTGTATATGATAGATCATCATTTAACCAATTCGTACTTAACAGTAGGTTTCCAAATGCACAACTCATTTTTTATGTGTACTTAGGTGTCTGTTGGATTAAATTTTTTGTGAATGTGCCAGATCAATGGATGTATGCATTTTAATGTTGGCAATATTGCTGAATTATTTTCCACAGAGGTTTATGAATTTATATTATTGCCAACAGCTCATCTGCCAGTTTCCTAAACAACACTATCATAATTTAAAAATAAATCTTAAGTAGTGTTTTCTCTGAGATTTTAAGTTCATTATATAGCTTCATAAGTTTCATTACATTGAGGAGTTGTGGATGAATTCTGTCACTGTTCTGTATGTCAAGGGTATTACAGAATATGCCTGAATCAAAGAACAGTGCAATTAGAGTGAAGTCATATGTCTGGGGAAACAGTAAACCCATGACAGTACTAGGAAGGCAAGTAAGACCTGTATTCTAGTTTCTTCCTTTTCACTCAGATTCTAGTTTCTTTCTGTGGAACTCCAAAAGCGTATGTGATGTTTTGTGATATCCTTTTGGTAGCTATGGCTGAAAGCAAGTAAGCTGCTTTGTATTGTGTTGGAAAGGTAACTCAGTTGTTAAGGTACTGTCTATTATCTCCACCAGAATGTTGGTCTTAGCAGTCTTCTGATTGCAGAATACCTTACTGTGAGCTGTAAAGAAATGAAAAGGCTGGGTATGTTGGAACACACCTTTAATCTCAGTACTTAGATGGCAGAAGCAGACAGATCTCTGTGGGTTTAAGGCTAGCCTGATCTACATAGTTAGTTCCAGGCCAGCCAGACTGAGTAGTGAGACCCCTACCCCAAAAATATCCCCCTCCAAAAAAAAAAAAAAGAATGAATGAATGAATGAAAAGATTTCTGTGCCTAAAGAGTATTTTGATCACTGGAAAACGAGATATACTGAATATATGAAATAATAAGAGTTAGAAGTTGATGATGCATGCCTTTAATCCCACAGAGTCAGGCGGACCTCTGTGAGTTTGAAGCCACCCTGGTCTACAAAAGCTAGTTCCAGGAAGGCTCCAGGCTCCAAAACAATACAGAGAAACCCAGTCTCGAAAAACAAAAAAAGAAAAGAAAATGTAAATAATAATATGCTTGTGTTCTGTGCTGAGAAGACCTGCAAAGGAGTGATCAAGAGTTGAAGGAACGTTTGTTTTGGAGGGCTTTCTGGAAGAAGTATATTTTGAAGTTTTTGTTTTTTTCCAACTGTTGGAAGTTAAAACATATAGAAAAGTAGAAAGGATGGTACAGTTATTACCCTTCTGTCTATCATTGCAACTGTTCATATTTTTATTGTATTTTAATTTTTTTAATTTTGTTTTTCCAGACAGGGTTTTTCTGTGTAGCCTGGCTGTCCCAGAACTTACTATGTAGACCAGGCTGACCTCAAACCTAGATATCTGCCTGCCTCTGCCTCTCAAGTGCTGGAATTAAAGGCGTGCACCACTACTGTCCATTGTAAAAATTTATATGTGATATATGTTAGGATGTGTAATAGACAAACTTTTATATATTGCAGATACTTCACCCTTTAGATGCATCTCCTTGAAATACATTGTTTTACTTAGTTGTTTCTACAGTATTTGTCACAAGTCAATTATGAGTAATTTTAAGTTTTATTTTATATCTTGAGACGATCTCACTGTGTAATCCTGGCTGGATTAGAGTTCACCCTATATACCAGGCTGGCCTCTGCCTCTCAGGTCCTAGAATCAAAGGCAAGTACCCATCACACCTGCCAATAGTTATATTTTTTTCCCCTTCAAACATGTTTCTTTAGTCTCAGAACCATTTGAAGCTTCTCAAGATTAGTGGCTTTTGTTTTTTGAAGAGACCAGGCATGTCTGTTCCAAGATATATCATCTCTTGGAATTTTCGGATTTTTTTTCCTTTTGTTTTTGTTTCAATAATTTGTTCTATTATCAGTACAGGCTGATATTGAGATCTAATGGCTTGGTTAGATTCCAGTTAAACAGTTTTAGGAAGCATAGGACCAGAGCCCTCTGTTAATGATGTGGGGTTTGGATATGTGTTTTAAGGTGATAAAGCCCAGATTCTTTAGTGAAATCTCCTCCCTTTATAATTATCAGGTACTCTGGAGAGGTTCCACTCTGGCACTCTACTGTTGTTTTCCCAGCAGCCTTTCTCCTCAGATGATGGTCCTTACTTTAGTCAGTTAATTCAGTAGTTGCAAAGTGGTGATTTTAAAATTCTGCCATTCTTTTCCTTTGACTAGTTTTTGTTTTTTTATAAAACTT